TGACTTCTGTACAGTGAATATTTCATATGAAGTAATATCAAAACATACCTATACATGAGATGATATCGACAAGCAAAAGGTAGTAGAAAAAAATCATATGAATTTTTATTTTGGTGCGTATTATGAACTATACTCATGTATATATACATCAAAATCGTCAAAGTAAAATCTTACGGAAGATATTGTCATGCGCAGATGATATCGAGTTGACACAATCGTACACATTCATCTTTATATACTTTGAACATTTTGTTTTCGAACAAATCTAGTGTAATGATAATAGGACATATAAAGACTTGAATGCTTAATGACGATGGTATATTACTTAATTTATAAGACAAATATACAGTTGCTTAAGAATTGACACCATAATTTACTAAGAACAATCACGTTTAGTCTTAGGTATGGATGTGAGGATATGGACGTGGGTGTGGGAATAGGGGTATAAGTGTGGATGTTTTCTTCTTCACATTGACACACACACCCGCATACTCTTCACACTCACCCACATCCACACCCAACCCCACTCACATATCCCTATATACCTGCATAGTATTGTGTTTTTATCTTTACTTGATCGAATAGAAAGTTTTATTTTATCTTCTAAGTCGTCCATGTTTTAGAGATGGTGTGAGTGTATAGTCGTCTATTTGAGACTTTATTTTTCAATATTTCTAACTAATAAAATAAGCAAGCCTATATTTAATACCTTTAGGTTATTTTATTGTATTGTATACCGTTTTCTTAGTTTTTATTTCTTTACACTTATGATAAGAATTTTTATTTAAAAATGAGTGTCAGTGGGATGTGGATGTCAGTGAGGTGTGTGGGCGTGGGTTTTCCCTTTTAAACCAAACCTTCATACCAACAGCCACACCGGCACCTACATCCCGTACCCGCACTCACATACACATCACACATCCATCCTTCAGTATGATGCTCGACAACGATCGAATAGTGTAGTTGTAGATATGCAATCCATCTATACTCACATCAACTATATTTATTATTATAACCTAATGTATCTTTAACTCTTTGGTGGTGAGGCATTTATGCCGCTTCGCTGTATGGTAACTTGAAGAAAAAAGAGAAAGAAGAACGATCTTTCATATTCAACTGTCAACTTGTGGGGTAAGAGTAACATTTGTCGAAAAGTATAAGTAGAAAGTCTTATTTTGTTTTCTAAATTTAGATAAAAAGTTCTACATTAAAATAGAATGTTGGCCTTAGATATCAGAACATCGATTTCGCGTTACCCGTAGTAGAACGATTATCAATTTCCTTTGACTCTGTCGTGATTTTTTTCAAAATGATATTAAAAAAAATAAATGCGAAAACCTCGGATATAAATCCGAGTGTTATGTGTACTTCAAAAAGTGAAAAGGGATATTCACTTTGTTATTTATTTGCTCAAAAACAGAATCAATCACACTCTCAAGCTTTGAAATTGGTCTTAGCAAGGTTTTGTTTTTTGAGATATGATGAAGAACAATGGAATTAATCCGATTGAATATTATTGTCATCTGATTCATGATTGACACGTAATAAACGTGCATTTTGTTCAATATTTCTCGATTCATTTCCCGTTCCATTTAATTCAGATTTTGAATTCGGTAATAAAAGTGAAAACATTAATCCAATTGTAGCAAGAAGAGCACCAAAAAGAGATGGTGGACCAGGAATATTACGACTTAACATTGATGAATATATTGGTTTGACATTAATACTCTGTTGTTAAATTTGATTGTGTTTTTTGTTAATGGTAATGTTGGTGAATAATCTAAATCAACATTAAATAAATAAAATGTAAATCCAAACAAAGCTGGACCAAGACCATTACATAAACCATGTACACCATTAACCATACCTTGAACAAGACCTAAACAAAAATAAATAATTATTTTCAAATTATACCTTTTTTTTTACCTTCTTGATTGTCTTTTGCATAAACAGAAACAAATGCACTAATAGATGAATACGTTACAGATGATAGGAATGTAAAATCACCAAAAACCCACATAACCTTTGAATTAAAATTTTAGATTTTACTT